AAAAATAGCTTAAAAGCACATCATAATGTATAAAGCTTTTCTAGTAGATGTAAATAAACAGAAATAACTTTTTCTATTTTAATTCTGAACTGGAAAAATGTCACAGTGGATGACAACTAGGTTCTATGGAAATTCTTTAACAAAAAAAAAATCTGAAGCAAGTAAATATTCACTAAATTTGTAGTTTGGTACAACTTAAGATATAATTTTATTTCTCTAACACTTTCTTAATTATCTTCTCAAATTCTGAGTGGAATTTGGGTTAAACTGCAAGAAAATTTAGTTATTCTAAAATGACACACAAAAGAAAACATACTGTACAGTTTTGTCTTTCATTATTTTAGTTCAATCTTTGCATTACATCCACTTACATGAAGAGAAGTATACTGGTTAATCACTTTATAAGAATGATTTTTTAAGTCCTATACTGCCCTTGGAAATACTTCCTCCATTACAGATTGTGCCCAACCTGATGGCCATGATTATGCATTAAAGTACTACCTCATTATAATGCTACCAGTTTTAATGTTCTCTACAATATAAAGCTGTGGTGCCTTGGCTCCCAAAAATTTAGTATCATCTGCTGCTTAGCTCATCGCCACATGGCTTCAGAGGCTAAAGTCATTATGCTCTGTCACACAATAAAGGAAAAAAAGCAGGAAGCTTGAAGGTCCAAGTGCAAAGCCCACAGATGTGAATATGAAGTTCAGGTGTGAACTTGATATTGGGATGTTGGGAATTAAGGTAAGAAAGGAACTTGAAAATGTGACTCGATTGTCAAAATAGCAAGAAAGTGTCATCGATATAGTGGTTGTAAAGGATGGGTTTAAAGTCACAAGGGCATTTTTCTAACCCCTTCCATTCATGGCAGCATAGAAAACCATTGGCTATCACTAGACCCAGCAGGGATTCCATCTATTTGGTCATAAACAACGTCATTAAAGAGGAAATAGCTTAACTTTGTGGAGAGGTAAGTTCCAAGAATTGTTTATGGGTGAAATTAAGATACTACTCAGTGTCAGAAGGAAATAGAGTTGTCCTATCATTAATTGCAACAGGTTTAGAGTAGCATTAAGCCTGCTCAATTTTGATGCAATTTTAATTATCCAATGAAAATGCTGATTGTTTTTACGATGACCTCGAAGAAGTTTTATACTGGATGGAGCAACAAACAACAGCTACTCCAGAAATTGTGATGCATATGCAAAATGCTCCACATTACGTTTCGTAAAGAGGCATGAAACCAAATGAAGCAGACTAAGGTATCAGACTTTTTAAGTAAATAAGTGAACATGAGTGTGCTTTGTTTCTGAAATATCGGGAAGTTTGCAATGGGTAGTCAGGATTGTTGTTTTTGTTTGTTTTTAATTACACCACTTGGGTTGTTAAAGGTCAGCTTGTCTTTACAGTTTGTCCAGGAACTCAATCTTAGTGTTACCTTCAATCAGGGAAGAACCAAGTACATGAGTGACTACTTAATTTTATTAGCACCTGACCTAGGCTTTCAGCATATACTGGGTTAAGCCATATTTGGTTTGAACTACCAAACTTTGCTAGCAACTGCCAACTGTAACAGAGAGAAGCAGTATGCTGATCTTAAAAGGCATAATCCTACTGGGGAAGCGTGGTTGGTTAGATTGCATGTTTAAAACTGCCCAGAACTCATTTGAATTGTATTTCATCTTTAGTGTTATGAAGACATTTTTCATTTACATACCCATCTATTGACATTACTTGTTGCAATGTTATATTTTAAGCAAGAAATCTTAATATTTGAATATGGAAACTGTGAATAGTGTCCATAATCGAGCATTTAGTTATTGGTAATGTTTAATGATTGAAATGTCAGTAACATCAATTGTATTTTTTTGTAAATATTATTATTCGTGTTCATTTTGTAATCTTGTTAAATCGTGTTATTTTGTTTGCATAAAGTTTAGTTCAGAAAACCAACTTAATAAAAGTCTTAACTGACTTTACTTATTCAGGTGTTTAGTGTCCGACTTACGTTTGCATGTATGGTATTTTATAGTTCCTTGCTAGTGATCCTTTTTCATGCATTCATTATCTCAAAATTTGCATGGAATGTGACATTTGTTGCAATATAGTGTCTAAGCTATGAGTGTGATCCAAGAAAGTCATGGAGATGATTTTAGGCTTAAGGCAAGTGCTAATTATGAGAAATAAAAACTTTTTTATGATCTATATTTAACATTTTTACTTCACTGATTTGTTCTGTATGCACGAAATAAAAAACAACAACAACATAACTACTAAAGGTGTGGCAATACATCAATATGATAGGAGTATCGTATCCTGAAGCCATGATACAATTGTATTGATACATCATCCGATACGATGATATATATTTATATATATCTTCATGAAACTTGGCAAGCTTTCAGTAAACAATATAAGTCTTTTGTACAGAAAAAATCAGAATTTCTAATAAAGTACTTTTGCTAAAAATTAATGATTCTATAAAGGAAGATGAGTATTGAGTATTCATTTCTTTTAGCAAAAACATTACATGTAAAGTAACATAACAAATTAAGCATAACAAAATGGACAGACAGATATTAACTTTTTTATTTTACTTCTCTTGCCAGCTGCCATTTAGTTGATAAAACCTGAGAATTTGAAAAAGCACTGTAAAGTGTGAAGTACTTAAATAAGACAATGTTAGTAATATAGATAATAAATTACAGACAAGACTGTCGAACTTTGTAACAAACCGTTGGTAAAACTTTTGTATCTAGGTACATATTGTATCACGGCATCAATATCTAGATACATATTGTATTGACCACTATGATGAGATGCGCATCCCCAATAACTACATACTTACTTATTTATTGAAATAACATATATTGTTTATATCCATAAAATATGCTAAATACTTATAGAAAGTAAAGTTGTGGATCTGTAGGCACAGAGTAATCTGTGATTAAGACTCTTGAGTTAATTAACAATTAGTCAGCTTTTACGGGTAAAAAATAAGCACCGATAACATAATGAACTTTTCTGAACATATTATATAATAAGGTATTGTATCTTAATAATATAACAACAGATATAAAATAATAATCTTACTTAATACAAAACCAAATAGCCTTAAAATGTCTTGAAACTGTGCACAAAGTTTTATGAAAAACTCGGTGAAAGTAAAGAATGTATGATAATATGTTAACCACACCACAGCTGCTACATATAGTGCCAATGAGGCAGATGTAACAGTTTGATTAATATTAACTTCTGATTAAATCAAGCTACCTACAGATATCAGAACTAAAAAGCAATACAGTAATGAGGTACTGTTCTTATATTCTTATTAAGAATGCACTGTCATCTGTTTCGGGATACCCAACAGGCAACAATGTATTCTAATCCCTTATGGCATAAGGTCAGTTTAGAAGATATAGGTTAGTCTAGATCAGTGGTCGGCAACCTTTTTTGATCACGGGTTAAATTTTTTTTTTGTTTAAAAATTTAGCATTGTGTTGGGTCAGTGATAATCATATAATTATTAATACCGGT